GTAGTTCATTTATCAGAAATTTAAAGGATGCAGAGATGCAACTAATTAAGTTACAAAATTAAGGCTTGTATAAAGTTACAAAATTAAGGCTTTTGTAACTTTATACAGTTGCAAACCTAGAAAGTAAACAATGGAGTTGTACAAATATAAATAAAGCCTTGCAAAATCTTTGCTAAGAATGAAGATTAGGCATCATTTGATTTGTCCATTAGAACCAAATTTATTTGCAACCCTAGAAGGCTCATTTGCCACCTACTGAACAGAGTAATTAAAGGATTTTATAAAGCCTTGCTACTGTTCAAGCAATGTACCTTAAGTTAATGATGAACATTATCACTCTTCTAAATCAAATGTTTAAGGATAAAATTATTCTGTTCAAAGATTGTAATTTCTCCACATCCTAATATAGTATTGTGCTACTTGGTGTTTACAATGAACAGAAGTTAATAAAATAACAGATGTGTCCTGATAAAAGTTCTTTCTACTCATAGTGGATTAAATAAGAGTCAACTAACATGATTGCTTTCACATGCAAAGGTCAGTCTAGGTCAACTTTCCCAGGGAATTAACTATATGGAATTTACCCTGCATGGTCCACCAAGTGTATAGTTTATAATCAACCAAGCTGTAAAAATGATTGTTTCATGATGATTAAAATAAGCTAAACATATAAAATCAACTGACTATGACATTTTAAATATCAGAGATGTCTTCCATGAGTTAAGGAGGCTCTTCCCATATGTTTGCATTTGTTATACAGTATATATCTAATCAACAGCTGCTTTCACAGTATTGTCACTCCAAGCCATATGGTTTTGCCTTAGTGTAATGAGTCAACCCAGACATTTTAGTTCACTGTTCATGGTTTATGGCTTAATAATACATGTGAATGATTGGTTTGTTTAGCAATTGTTTCTTGAATGTACCATAATTGCCTAGATTCACAAATCAACAGAAATCATACATTGTCTGGATTCACACAATATGCATGTGAATTGATTGAGCACCACCAACTTGGTGCCAACTCTTAGCAACTACAGTGTGATGGAATGGAATTATGAAGGCCAAACTCAGGGAGGAAAACATGCCCTTTCGTCTCCTGAGGGACGAGGAAGAGATAAGAGGATGAGGCTGGCACCTCCCTGAGGAATTCACAATGATGAGGAAGACTGACATT